TGGCTGCCATCATCTAACTTACTTCCATCTATTATATAATAATTAACGTTATCCTTTATTTTTTTATCTAAATCTTCTACTTTGTGTATATCATCAATACTTGCAGTAGATGGGTGGTTATCCCCCACATATATATATAGCTTTGCACCATCTTTAAATTCACATGATTTACTCACTTGCACGTGATATCCACCACGATTAACAACATAACTACCGTTATTTGCTATTGCAAGCATTACATTACTACCAGGCTTTACATCATTATTCACTAGATAATCACGATGTAATTGCAAAGAAAAATCTTCAAAATCCTTACTAATTTTTGAACACACATTATCACCTGTTAATCCATTTTTCTCTGGAAGGCATTGAGTGCCTTTAGCATTAATATCCATATCTGCACGACTATTGTAAGGAGTATTACTATAATCTATGTCGCTGCTAGCAATTTTTGCAACTAGAGCTTCAGCCCAAGAATTTTCCCTACCAACATTTCTTTGTGCAAGCTTTTCAAGATAAGGATACATATTACATTTCCCTCCTACATCATACTCTTCACGCCTTATTGAAGAGATACAGTTTCCTATACCTTCTTTATTATAACATATTCTATCATAATAACAATTCAGTTCACTAGATGAATATTTCTTTTTCTCATTATCATGACACTCTTTCTTCTTTGTCGGGTCTTTCTCTCCTGCACATAACTTATCTAGGTCTACTTTATCTAGACCTACCTTATTACGACGTAAATCTAACAGTGAACCACTTATCCATTGAACTCCGTTACTAACGTTAAAGTGTACTTTATTATCATATGGGGTATATCCATTACCCACTAAAACTTTATATTTCTGTTCCTGACCTTCTAATGGCTCCAATTTTGTTTTAACTCTCTTATTGTCCTGATCTTCACAGAAAAATGTACCTCCTTTACATATTGCATGTGGAGTAACTTTGTTTTTATCAGTAGCCTCTGCGGTTTTATAGCAGTTGTCATCCAAGGTTATCTCTTTTAGCTTATTACAATCAATTTTTATTTCTCTGGGCACTAATTTAAAATTCAACTTATCACCAGGATTAACTTTGATTCCAGTATCAACATAACGCCTATTGCTTACTTTCCAATTGTTACCTACAAATCCTTTATTTTTACATACTTCATTTCCATTTAACCCATCAATTAACTTATTACTGTTAAGATCTTTAGCTCCATCGTAGTCCGGTTCTGAACCATCAGAACAAAATATAGCTGGAACTAATACTTTGACTGGATTTCTACCTTTTTTTTCATGACAAACATTAATCGACCCATTAACAGTAAACTCTATTTTCTCACCTGAACCAATAATTTGATCTGAATTAACCCAGTGAATTTGAACATTGTCATCATCCTTGTGTACTGGAATATCTATATTAACACTAGTATTTCTACTTTGTAACCCAGGTTCAACACAATCCATCGTACAACTAGTTAGTACAAAACATAACACTAATAATAATCTTTTCTTTGCCATACTCTTACTTTTCATTTGGTATTTGAGGTTTCTGAGATCCTTGAGACCTTTGTTGAGGTATTTGAGGTCTTTTACTTAACGGTTGAGTTGGTGCAGAACCTTGTCTTTCTTGTCTACTATGTTCATCTATACCTCCTACTCCTAATAAACTTTGCTTATATTGTTTGCCAGGTTCATTTGATACGTAACTGCTGAATAATGTATCAGATATCTCTGAAGCAGCTTCAAGTAAAGCTTTCATAGCGTGACCTAAAATAATAAAGGCCATAATAGCAGTGATGTTAGGTGTATGTTTAGCAGCATAATAATGAAAGAGACAAGGTTCAAAAAGCTTAAGATTAATTGACAATATGCATTTAGAACAGACTTCAAAATTAAACACTGAATATACAATATAGTCCATAACTTGACTTATTAATGACACACAAATCAAAAGTATTACTGGATAAATTGCAAATCTTGCCAAATATCCAACCCATCTAAAAAACATTTGTCTGGTATATTGAAATAAAGCACAGATGATAAATATAGGTGCTAAAGAAAGCAACAAAGCCATTATTGCAACAGACGTAATAAAAGAAAAAAGAATATTAAAAATAGCCAAAGATACTATTATAAAACCCCAAATTACCAAGCAAAAAGCTACAATACCTAAAGGACCAGAAAATAATAGAGATACTATTAATAGTATAGACTGCCATGATAAAAACCTATTCAATGGTAAATCAAGAAACTCAAAAACGTTAACATTCGGATCAGTGCCTCTTAAATTTGCTATCCTTATCAACTCGATTGGAGCATTCACAAATATAGAAAATGCGTTATTATAGAAAAAATTCCAACTGTCATCGCGTAGTAGCTGAGTAATAATTGCTATCTTTACACAGACAATCAAAAACTCATGTATAGAAGCATGGGTCAATCCAAAAAAGTAATAGAGAGTATAGAGAACGATATAAAGTACCAATAACGCTATTATTGTAGATCTAATAGTGGCCGTGGCCGATTTATTTGATGTTACAAAGCTTTCATAAAGACGTTTTGTTGGGCTATCTCCACTACCAGAAAAGCTATTAGGTTTTTGGGTGTCATCATTAAAACCAAAAAATGCTTTTTTTACTCCCGTATCAAAGAAATTATATATTGCACTGAAAGTCCTAACGGGTGGCTCTTTAGCTGTTATGTTAATATTAAAATTACCTTTATTATTTTTATAGTTGCACCCATAATCTTTTATCCCAAAGTATATTTTACCTGTTTTTCTATTCAATTTTTTCATTATATCGTCTATGTGATCGTGATCATAAACTTTGCTAATATCTACAGGTATATCATCTGTTATATTCTCACCAGGATTATGCTTTGGTATGCTATCTGCTACATGCATGTAAAGGACGTGATTTGTATTTATACTCTTGTTGTTTAGATTTATATTCCTTTGAACTCTAATATTGTAACCACCTTTACCGCTATTACCGTAACCTAAGTTAAAAAATAACTTTTCACCCTTACTATGATCTTTTTTAATTTCATAACCATAATTAGTTAATATAACGCCTGGTATATGATTAAAATTCTCATCGTTCATATATATCATTAGTGACGGTATGTAAGTTTCTGCCTCTTTTACTTCTGTAAACTTTCTTATAGCCTCAGCTACTTTAGCATAACCATCACCATCACCATCACTAGTATTACTTAAAGCATCTTCAAGATCTAAGATTAATCTTTGGCTGTTAAGAAGAGATTCAAATTGTGCAAAATTTTGAGGATTACATTTGTTATTCATGAGATTTAAAAGATACGTATCTATCTTACCAACCATATTAGGAAGATTACTGCAATCTATGGCTCCATTTTGTCTGAGAACTTTTTCTATTTCTTCTTTCGTTGTTCTTATCTCATCTTCTTTCATATTATCTGGCCAATACTCCTTACCATTTAACCATCTTCCCCCATTTAATAAATACTTATTTGGACATTTCTGGCTATCACAGTCTTGCTGATTTAAAATCTTTGCAAAGTATGCCGTTTCTTCTTCACTGCAGGTTTCATCAATGTTTATAGGTCTTTCATCCCCATTACCATTATTCTTACATATTTTATTCTCAATAATACTGAAACTTATTGTATCTCCAGCTTTTAGTTCAAATGGCAATTCTACAGGAAGGTAAAGTATATTAACAGAAAACTGATTAGGATTAGGATAAACCAAAACATCCTTACTTACTTCACCTTGTTTGGTACAAAAATCAAGTTCGTTAGCTACTATATCGATTTCCACTACTTTCATTCCTGCTGAAACCTCAACCTCAGAACTAACCCATTTTTGTTGTGTTGAAACTATATTGAATTTTTCACGTGCTCCTATATCCTGCGGCCGAATACAATGCTCTTCACAGCCTGAAAGAAGAAAAAATGACATTATCAATAAAACCCTTATCATAATTTACTGAGACCCTTTAGTAATACTTTCAGAGCTCTTGCTCCCTCCTCCACCACCAGAATCACCGCCTTTTGGACCAGAAGATCGAGTTGCAGATTTCAATTGCTTAGCAGCAGCACTGGCAACTTGACCGGCACCTCCAGCAGCAGCTTTAGCAAATGATAAGGCTTTACCCGTCATTTCTCCAGGTGTACTGCCTGAACCTAATGCTGCTCTATGATTACCAGCAAGTTCAGCAGCCATTCCAGGAAGAATATTACAGAAATGATAGAATAAAAACAGTATTAAAGTCAATTTTAATAGCTCTCCAATGATAGAACCATTAAATCCAATGTATGTAAAATCAAACAGGCCAAGTATGCTGCTCTTTTTATAGCTATAATCCTGTAACATACATGCAAGGGTATTCGTATTGTTTACACAATTATAAGCATTGTCTTTTACTATCTTAAACCACCGTTTTTTACCACCTAATGTTTCGACTATTTTGCCTTTATCTAGCTCTTCCCGCTCAAATTTCAAACCTTTATAAAAAACTTTGTCACATGCGATAAACATAAAGGATAAGAATGCAAAAAGAATGACCGGATACAAGCTATAGGTAATTAATTCTTTTATCCATCCATCAAAATATCCCTTTGTATGTTGAAATAGAACCATAGGAATAAATAGTGGTGCCAAGATAACAATTACGCTCAAAGCAATAAGAGATAAAATAAACACATAGCACATCCATAAAACAACCATCATTNAAATAGTGGTGCC